CCTCCCTGCAACCGCGACCTCCGACACAGTCGATTCCGGTGATTCCGGGCTTCGAGCTTCAAGACCCAGCCACCCTCAGCGATCGACAACCGAGCCATTGTTGTTCACCTTTACGAGCATCTCCGACGACTTCGAGCTCACAGCTTGCCCCAAGCTCTGATTTCCGGCCACGACCTTGAACTCTGACCACAGCGAGGCTCACCTTTGAGCTCAAAGCTTTAAAATCTGCAGACCACCAAGCCAAGCTCGAGTTCCAACAACTGAGCCACTTATCACTCCCAGTGAATTCATCCGAAGCAAGGTATACTGGCTAATCTTGTAAATCTTGAAACCGGTGGTGTTTGGAGATAGGGAATTATGTGTTGATCGATTGAATTGGTGAAGAAGATTTCTAGATTGGGTAATTGCTATTTGAGTTGATTGATTGCTTTGAGGATTGAATTGGAGATTGAGAATTTGTGATTTGAATTGAATGTGGTGGTGATTCGAGATTGGGATTGTTGTTCTTAGCTATACTTGTTGAAATTATTTGGGTTCGTTTAATTGACTTGGGTGCTCGAGTATTGGTTGGTTGATTGTTGATGGAGATGAACGTTGTGTTATTGTTGGTTGGAAGATGTTGTGTTACTCGATTGGGTGCTCGGATGGACCATCCACGCATTATTACTCTCGATGCTCGTGGCAAATCGTTTTGAAATCTTCTTATTTTATTGGGTGTCTTGTTGAGTTTGTGGTTGTACGTTGATTCGAGAGGGGTTCGAGGCCCGAATATTGAGCTTCGAGCATAGTTGTGTCTTCGTTGAGTATTAGTGGATTCATAGTTTTCATCCCTCCGAGACGCACACATGTGGCCTTTATTTGGAGTCGGGGGACGGAATTTTCGACTTCTCTATGCTACCAAATGTCAAAGTATCCGGTTGGCTTATGGAGTCTATGCTTACCACGTACAACCGTTCGGATGATCTTATTTCGAGCTCGACGAGGCTTTCGGGCAAAATTTTCTCTTTTTCTTACCGGAGGAACACCATTTGGACACACGGTGGAACCCCACCGTGTTGAGTGCGCGCTTTCTTTTCCCTTCTTTATTTTCTCTTTCTCTTTTTTTTTTTCTATGTGTTATGTGTTTCTTTTTTGTTTTCGTTTGTATAGCTCATTTATCTTGTCGAACGCTTGAGCTTATGTGATTACGTGCTCTTTTCTATGCTTTTTGGGTCAAGCAATGAGGACATTGCTTTGTTTTAAGTGTGGGGGAGAGGTTTGCGTGATTATGCATGCTTTAGGCGTATTTTCTTTTCGTTTAGTTGTGTCGTGGACCGGTTTTTGTTGTGTACAAATTATAATTATTTTACCGAGCACCGAATCAAATGATTCGTTTC